ATTGATCACGTAATGCGGATCGAATCTGATGGAACTTTCAAGGTCGGGGTAGTTTTGAACTGACCAATCACAACTCATTTCCAGTGGGGTGAGCGTTACCAACTTAAGAGAGTAACAGCTAAACTTCGAGCTACGAAACTGGAAGAAACATCGTGCATTGATAAACACTTTACCTCCGTTAACTGCTAGTTATCCTTATCTGACAGTTACTTAACAGACACTTTTAACTGAGCATTGATAAACCGGCCCTTAGTTGGAGGCTATTCAAGTATTCGGAACCATGAAATCCTTTAAAAGTAATGGCAGAAAGTTTGTGCCTCCATGTGTCAAAAATTGGATCCATACTTTGAAGGGGTTCAGATATTTATGGACCATATTGCAGGAGGAAGGATTGAATCTTTTGTGCAGCCGCAAGATCAACCAGGATCCAGTGGAAAACTTTTTTTGTCGGATAAGAAACCATGGTGCATGGGTTGTTAATCCCACGTGCCAGTCTTTTATTAATTCGGTCAAAACTTTAATGATTAACGACTTTGTGGGAGTCCATTCGCTTGGTGCGAACTGTCAAGATGATGATGCCGTTTTGATGGACAATTTGAAAAATTTTATTGGTAGCAGAGAAGGTTCATCCAAACTAAACTTTGAAGCAAATATTGATGTCTCCTTCAGCAATAAAATTATGTCAGAATTTTCTCATGTCACGAGCATTTTGAGAAAAAATATAGAAGTTTACATAGCCTTATATGTAACCAAGAAAGTATTAAAGGCTATTTCAAAGTGCCAGCAATGTAAAATTGATTTGGTAGGTGATCATGACCATTATTCAGGGGGCGAAAGTACTGCTATAAAGACCTGAGTGTTTAGCAAGGAGACAGTTATAGGTACCTCATACCAACTTCTACAACTTTTTTTTTAATCTATTTTTCTGTTAACACGGGCAATGCCTACATATTTTGTGTCATGTAAAGTGTTAAAATACGTGTAGTACGTTTGAGATAGAGACAAAAATGACTGTATGAAGAACAATAAAGAAAAACAGAGAGACAATCCAAAAAGTGGAAAATGAAAACTGGACTGATGCAACAGATAAAACTATTAATTGACGAATACTCGGCAAATAAGGAGAAATTCCTGTTGCCCATGTATAGCAATAAACAAGTGTCGGAAGTCATTAGCAACAAACTAAAACTGAAAGGCATCATTCATTACACAGAGGTCCAAATGCAACGAAAAATTGAAAAATTTAAAGAAAACAGTGATGAATGCAAAAAAACGACTGGAAATTACAACGTAACATAGAAATGGCTTGAAATGTTTCACAACATTTCCTTTGAAGATCCAAATTTTCAACCTGTGTATACATTAAGCAGTAGTAAGTCATTAAAAGAGCTGCCAAAGGAAAAATGGAAACCCCAGAAAAAATTGATGAACACAACACTAAAAGTTCCACCTCCAAAAAGGTAAGAGCAATCTGTTATTTTGTTTTAACCAGTGATTATTGAAACCCCCGACCGGTCTTGCTAAACATTGAGTCGCATCTTTTTCTTGAATTTTCATATCTTTTTAAATACGTTACAATAACCATTTTTTTTATTTACCTACAGATAGTAATTTTCATCGATATAGTGTTGTTCATATCATAATATGAAAAACTGTCGCGGATTATTAAAGCAAAATTTTTTAATTTGTTGAAGGATGATGTAATTCAAAAAGAACACCATATAGGTGTTTCGTATCGAGGAAATTATACTATTTATTCCCGAACATGCGTAACAGTAAAGATTAAAGACAATTTATTAAATAAGAAGAGGTTATATTATACAATTTATAATCGAAAGTCGTTAATTGTTCCAACGAAACAGGTCAACACTTCCTAACTTCTCTAAAAAGTGAGTAGAACAAATTGTTTTACTGCTTGAAATAATCCACCATTTTTTTTTTTTTAGAAGATGCAAATCCAAATATGGAGCAGTAGGTATATACCTATCAACGCCTTCAAAACGAATCATGCCTGAATCGACAATTCATTTGTTAACTACATTTTATAAAGGATATGTTCCGAGATGAAGCAAAAAACAAGCTCTATACATCTAGTGCTTTTTCATCTGAAGCGACTTTGGCTTTAAACTCAAAAGTTTTGCAGAACGGCAATTTGCAAAGGAAAAAGTCAGTTTGTGTAGTTCGTAAAGCCCGATCGGAAATATTAACAGCTTTCGACAGATATTCCAAAGACGTTATTGATTATATATATATTAATGTCATGCGATAAAGAAAATTCATTCTACATACAAGGAGTTTCTGACTCGTTCGACTTTGAAATTTATAGTTTAGAACAAATTGACAATGTCAAATTTTTCATCAAAGAAAATAAATATTTACCGATTCTATCTATACTTTGATGTAAATGGTATATTCAAAAAACAAAATTATATTAACAAGCGGCTTTATTATTATTGTGGGGTAATATAAAATGTAAAAAATGAAAGAATTTCACCTTTACTTGAAAGGGGTAGCGGCCAACATGATGTTATAGTGAACCAAGAGCTATAAGGTTATATGGCCATCATAAAATCATCCCATTGTGTCGAAGTTAAGTTGTTTACAATAGAAAAGGTTTTAGGGTCGTAAATAACGTGTCCACTGCAGCTCGACCAGCTGTTGTGGTTTCGTTCAGGGGCGGCTTTCACTAAATATGAAAATCCACCACTCCACTATTTCTTTACTACCTGCAGCCGCTGAGGGTTCCGAAATAACCACTCGCTTTGAAAGCCGGCTCTGTTAAATATGAGCAAGAAATGTTTAGAAGATGATTTATTGCCAACCGGTAAGCTTAGTAAGAACCACACAAAGGGGGTACTTATTTGCGGTCAACTACTTTTATGATGGCCATATAACCTTATAGCTCTTGGTTCACTATACTAGCATTGATAGTTTTTTGGCTAATTATAAATCATTTGTGCAAAAGTACGCAGTTCGTAGGCCTCTGTTCTCCATGGTGGTCACTGATTTCAGTTTTGCGATGATTAACGCGTATAGCGTCGCAATCTCAAATGCATGCAATTTTGTATGCACACAAAATTCAAATTTCCCGCCTACGGATTTGTGCATATTTTTACTGACAGATTTCAGACATTTCAAATTCTTCAATATGAAGAATTTTAACCTGTATTTTGGCATTTTGAAGACATGAAGAATTCCAGAGTAAAATGAAGAATTTTTAAGATTGATTTTTTTTTTTTTTAATAAAACATCAGTAATCTGGACTATATTATTGACTATCTATTTATTTTAACCTGAGCAATCTCAGCGTTCGAAATATCTATATTTTCTTATGACACATTTGGTGACAAAAGAAAAATAGTTGATGGAGAAAATAATCTTGTTGATTTTAAATACGTTGAACTTTTAAATGAACTGCAAGAAAATGAAGGGCTGCACCTTGCAAACAAACTACATAGAAGACATCAATTTTTTTAAACAAAAAATGAAAGTTGCCATAGCTACACAGTTATTCAGCAGTTCTGTGTCTGAAGCTTTGACATTTTGTCGAGATACTTTACAGCTATATTAGTTTAAGAACTGTAGAGCAACGGCTTCATTAATATTGAATTGGGAATAAGGAGAATAAAGGAATTTGGTTATAAACAAGCACTAAATATGCATTATATTAACTCTTATTATTATAATAGTATATGTAAGCCCACTTTTTTTTGTTATTTTAGTTGCAATATACTGTTTTACTTTTATAGTCATTAGGGGGAACTATATAGAATAGTGATATATGTTACTAAAAATTGATTATCATTATTTTTGGAATATATATTTTTTTCTAAGAAACAAGTTCTTTTTTTATTAAGCCATAGATTTTAAACCTCAGTCCGCAGTGTAAAAACTGATGGAAATGTATAGACACCCGCGCTTATTTATACAAATGTTGACCGTGATATTGGCGACTTGTGGCGACATCTTTTGACAATGTTGGCGATTAACTGTAACGTATATCATGGAGGAAGGAATATAATGGAGGGAGTGCGCCGTATCTCGGCAATGTAAATTCTTGGCACCAGTGCAAGCACCTTTTATTACTCTTTTCAATTAGCGCGCCCTTCACCGCGCATGCTTACTTTAATAATTTCATCAGCCAGCACTGACCAGTGTCGTACGATTCTCTTTTTGTCATTTTCGCTTTTAACCTCGTGTTTAGTGTGAACGTTTTGTTTTGAATTTGCGATAAGCGTTTCATGTTTATTTAAAAACTTAAAATGGTTAGTTGCAAATTGTGTAAAGTTACGAGTGGCTCCAGGTCAACAATTGGTAGAGAAAAAACAACGTTTCACAGGTGTCGTATTTTTTCGTTTAATATTTGCTTAAGAGGGATTAATGAATATTTTTGAATTGCTTTTAGGTGTCCCCAGAAACCTGAATTAAAGAAACTGTGGACAGACTTCCTTTATCTTCACCTAGGAAATTCTGTGTCTGTGAACAACTTTTTCCTGTGTTCATTTCATTTTGAAGAAAAGTGTTTTGATAGAACATCAGCCCAGAAAGTTGTTTTAAGGCCACATTCAGTACCAACTATTTCTTATACTTATGAAGAAAGGGTATTAAATAAACTCACATGTAGCATGATATAACAATTAATACATATATTTATTTTAGATTAGCAATGTAGTGACCTTTAGAGGCAATGAAACGCATCACACAGAAGTTTGTGACGCACCTTCGGTAGAGCCTCAACAGAAGATAGAAGATGAATTGTCTAATAAAGTTTTTGAAATTACAAAGAAACTTGAAAATTTAACAACAAAAACATGTGCAAACGTTTTACTGAAACAACAAATTAACAATCTGAAGACATTAGTGTCACAACAACAATGCACTATTAAAACGTTAAAACGCAGAACCTCAAAACAGCAACGCAAAATTTGTAATCTGAAAGATGTTGTTTCAAGTTTAAGGAAGAAAATCAACTATTATGAAAACAACAGTGTGAATGTTAATAAATTTCAGGAAAATACAGAACTGTTGAGCAGAATGTGGGCTAAAATTAACAACAAACCATTGCCAAATCAATATGGGCCAGAAATAAGAAAATTTGCCGTTACAACACATTTCTACTCCCCAAAGGCTTTTTCTTTTATAAGAAAACAATTCATGGACTGTCTTCCACACCCAAAAACTTTGTCTGTATGGTATTCTTCAGTGAATGGTGCACCAGGTTTCACAAGTGAGGCATTCGATGTGTTAAAAGCAAAGGCTGAAGAACGTAAAATTGTGTGTTCTTTAGTGTTCGATGAAGTTGCTATTAAACGCTGCATTGAATATGATGGGCAACAATATTATGGATATGCTGATATGGGTAGTATAATCGAAGTAAATGAAAATGAAGAGGCCAAAGAAGCTTTAGTTTTCATGCTGGTTGCTATAAATGGCTCTTGGAAAATGCCTGTGGGTTACTTTTTAAGCCATTCTTTAAATAGTGAGCAAAAATTAGGTTTACTAAAACAGTGTTTATTTTTAGTAAAAAGTGTAGGAATTTAAATTAGCAATATTACATTTGATGGTTGTGCGACAAATTTGTCAATGGCATCTGCATTAGGTTGCTCATTTAGCCCTTCTAATTTGAAAACAAACTTTGGTGAAGAGAATATACTTCTTTTACTTGATCCTTCACACATGATGAAATTAATACGTAACACATTTGGTGACAAAAGAAAAATAGTCGATGGAGAGAATAATGTTATTGATTTTAAATACTTAGAACTTCTAAATGAACTGCAAGAAAATGAAGGGCTGCACCTTGCAAACAAACTATGTAGAAGACATATAAATTTTTTTAAACAAAAAATGAAAGTTGCTCTAGCTACACAGTTATTAAGCAGGTCTGTCTCTGAAGCTTTGACGTTTTGTCGAGATATTTTACAGCTAGATCAGTTTAAGAACTGTGGAGCAACGGCTACCTTCATTTTAAATATTAATGACGCTTTTGGCATATTGAATTCGCGCAGAATAAAGGAATTTGGTTACAAGCAAGCATTAAATAAGTATAATATTAATCAGGTAAAAACGTTTGTGAATTGCTATACTTCGTATATATCCAAATTGAGATTTTTTAACAAAGATTTAATTATTCACTCGCCCCGTAAAACAGGTTTTATAGGTTTTGTAGCTGGTTTACATGCAGTATTAAATATTTATGAACAATATGTAGTGGGTGATGGAGGAACGTCAATTTTACAGTATCTGCCCACCTATAAATGCAGTCAAGATCATTTGGAAAATTTTTTCTTCCAAATTAGAAATTTAGGGGGCTGCAATAATAACCCTACTACTCGTCAGTTTAAATCTGCATATAAAAAATTATTAATACACCCAGAAATAAATCACAGTGGTTTTGGAAACTGTGTACCCTTAGAGCAAGTAGATATTTTGACATGTTCGTCTCGAATTAAAAAACTCGAAAATATTATTAATTCTGATCAATTGATATTAACGAGTGACGTACAAGTTACTCGGGAAAGTGCCGTTAATTTTGAACATAATTATTTCTTTAGGCAGGAATCTTTAACAAATTTTTGTGAGGAAGTTGTCATTTACATTGCTGGATTTGTTGCTTTTAAATTAGCCAAATCTTTGAAATGTGAAATATGTATATCATGCCTTTTTGGTATAAAAGAGAACTTATTAGGAAGTTTTGTTGATTTCAAATCAAAGGGGGGATTGAGCTATCCTAGTGACGATGTGATTGCCATTTGCCTACAAAGTGAAAAAACTTACAGAACACATGAGCGAGTACATACTAAACTTAGTAAATGCAAAATTGTAATTGACATCATTGAAAATTTAAACTGTGAGAAATTGCTTCATAGAAATCACCTCCATACATCTTTTTTGTTGAAAGAAATAATTAATATTTATTTGAATTTGCGTATAAAATACAGTTGTAAAAGTAAGTCTTATTTAGTAGATTCTGATAGGCAAAGATATACTAAGTTGATTCATTTTAAAGGGCAATAAAGTTACAAAATGTGGTTTATTTAAAAAAAAAAAATGTAAACAACATGTTAAGTTTTATTATATGGAGAAAATCTAAAACATATTTGATTGCGTTGACGTTTTACTTTGTTTCTTCTTATATGTAGGTATATTTTTTATTCTTATACTATTTTTCAGAAAAGTATCAAGCTTTTAGTTGAAACGAACTCGTCTTTGTAGTAATCCTGTATTCTTTTTATTTAAATTGTATGTATTTCCTTTAATCCTTTAAGTGAATTTATCTTTATTTTGTAATATTGTATTCTTTTAATACCCTATAAAAACATTTATGTTATTATTATCTAGTACATATTTGTAAATTAATATTAATTATTATACAAATTATAAAGTACAGTTCTCTTACTGCCTTTTAATAAAATTATTTTAAGACCTACCGCTAACCCGAAAATGACTGGCATTGAGGCAACATTTCTATGATTACTGGTACTAAGACCAAGTAATGATATGCATTGATTGGATTAATAAAAAAAAATCGAGCTTCTAGAATTACAACATATACAAATTCGTCTGTTATTCTTTAACCTCACCCTATTCCCAAAACCTTAGCGTAACTACCAGTCATTTATAATTTTATATAATGATTTTATTATTCTTGGCTAATGTTTTTTCTTTATAATATTATCTCCTTAAATGTTATTCCAAAGATCTCGCAACAATTATACAGCAAAAATTCAAACTTTGATGTGAATTTGGGTTTTTTGTTGATTATAATTATATAAAATAAATTTCTATGAGTAAAATTCAAATTTTAGATATTCTAAAAAAAATATTTGCATTGAATATAATTTTGAGTAGTGGGGCCCCTTATGAATACTATTAAGATACGCCACTGAAGCGGCAGCCATATTGAAGCACCTTTTATTGCTTTCACGCATTTTGGCGCGGGATCACTTATTTGAACTCTCACTCCCTCCATTATATTCCTTCCACAGCATAGATAACAATCAGTAGAGACGGCTCGCCGTTTTTCGTGACCCGTTTTCGTGGGTGGTCGTTCGCATTATGACCGAATGAGGGCGCCCAACTGACGTCTAAAATATTTGAAATTTGGCAGTTTTGTTACAATATTTTTGCCAGTTTTGCTTGTTTAAGACTGCTTTTCCGGTAGAATTGTACAAATAGTATAAAAATGTAACTTTCACAATAAAAGGTAAAATCTTTGTCCGATGAATTTTCATACAGGATCCCTGTTGTGCGCCTTATTCTCTCCCTCGTGTTTGGAATTCTTGGAAAAGATAGTAAACATAATACACTTTTTGTTTAAAAAGTCGTCGCAAACGAACAACAACGGTGGTTATGAAATAAATAATAAAAATTTATTATATATGATTCCGTTGTTGTGGTAAAATTAAATATAAAAATAATAAGAAACAAACTACACGTAACAAAAAATTATATAAGCAGACCTTCACTCAATAAACAATTTTTTTATTCATCATGTATATATATATTTTTTTTGACCTACACAATCTTGAGTTTTATTTTGAGACGTTGCTTAACCCATAAGCAGTCGCTTAATCCCTATGGACTTCCGGTTTCATGAATTCCTTAATTATTCTGACCTGCGTCGACCCATACCAATTACCTGCACTTTATGCGAGTCGACAAATATGTATTTTTTTTGTAATAATTTTTTTTAAATAAAAATTTTACTTTATATGATATTACGCTTACGGGTTAAGTTGTTAGGTAAAATGCGTTTTTTTCGTAAAATTTTTGAAATTATTAAACAATTTAACAGGTACTGTTCTTATTTTTATATTTCTTCTTGTATAAAGTAATTACACAAGCATATATTCACATTTCAGGGCCTACCAAACGAAGAATTGCGAGTTATTTGGTAAATTATATATGCCAAACGATAATTTCTTTTTTTACATTTGTGAATTAGAGCAAAATTTTAGTGAAAATTTTGAAAATATAATTTTACAAACAACTACTTTGTTAAAATTTTTAAATTTATATAAGCAAGCTACATTTGTTCATCCATGCCAAAACTTTCCATACGATTATTTGCTTGCTTTGTATGCTAGGATGAGATTATTTTATGCACTAAAATTTGTAAATGCTAGCTTTAAATTTACAAATGCCAAAAGTGAAAAAATTAATAGAAAAAAAATAATTTGGCAGCATTAACTTTTTTCCTTTTTGTAATTTAATTTTTATTTTATTTATTTTTTCTTAAATAAACCTCTTTCTTTTTAGATGAATTTATTACATTATTTTTACAATGATAATTAAACCTCAAGTATTCGGGGAAAGAATGTGCGAATTGTCAAATTGTATAAGTAATAAAATAAAAACTGTAACAAATGATCGTGTTTATAAATTAAATATCGACTTTTCTTTTTTCTTATTGCGATTCACGATTATACGATTTGAGCAAACTAGACAGTTTGCAATAAATTGCGTACACGAATCAATTTTTGAAATTGTAAATGAAGTGATACTTTTTAAATTGGGTGGCGACATCTAGGAATAGTTTAGGCAACGACCACCCATGACAGCTTAAAATTCGGGTCAGAAAGAACAAAGGCGCCGACACGAGCTGTCTCTACTGATTGATATCTATGCTGTGTTCCTTCCTCCATGACGTATATCTGGCAACCCTGCTCACAACTACTCAGGCTTGTCCAGAGAAAACAACTACTGCTTTAACTTCGATTTTCCCCAAAACGTTTTAAACAGGGTAAAAACCATCCAAATTTACCAGATTACCGATTTAGAACTAGACTAAATGGAAAAAAATTTGAATTAAAATAAAACTAAGTATTATAGAAACCTAAATACTATACTTTTTCATGTATTTGTGTGTGTTTTCATATATTTGCATGTATTTTTATATATTTTCATGTATTTTTTTAAATTTTCATGAATTTTGTAGCTTAATAATAGACTCTGCTTTTATATTTTTAAATTGCCTATCTTTAATAAATGTTCTAAAAGAATTTTTAATTTTTTTAATTTTTATTCTACCAACGCCCTCTATCCACCAGACATTTAGTAGAATTCTGGTAAAACGTGACAGTTTAGTAGAAAGTAAATTTCGACTATTGGCAGCCCTGGACTCGATACTTTTTTTTTCCATGCGAGTACAGTGCCATAATTTTCGCGTTGCTGGCAACGCTGCATATGTACCACAGATTCGGCATAACCGGCTACTTTGGGCTACTTTTTGTTCTTGCATTGGCTACATTGAGATAAGAAAATCTGGCAACCCTGTCACAGGCAATCGTTTAGGAACAGCATAATCTATAAACGTGCACAACAT